ATAAGGAAACAAAGATCCAAAGACACAGAGCAGCACACTTGATGCTGAAATGGACAAAGAGTAAGAAGTTGTGAAAATGTGACCTGAGCAAAAGAGATTGGGTCGGGGTGATTAATTGGGTGGAAGATTGACTAGCAGGATAAGGGTTAGTTCAACCAATTTTATATGGGATTTTCATTGGCTTCAACTTCTCATCCTTGATGATAAGAAGGTTATTTTTTTTTCTGGTATGAGGAGAATGTCTTTCATATGTGCATTTGGTCTCCTACTTTTATGAACACATTCTTCCACCTGCTATTTTTMAAGTGCCTTTAACTCAAATTAGTTAATATGCTAGAATAGTACAGTTTGGGGTGACATGCTTTGAACATCTGGATGTACATAAAGTACTCAAAAAAAGAAAATATTTCACAAAAAATCAAAGGCTTAATTCTGCTCAAGGAGTTAAAATCTTGGTAACTTTCTATGGAATCTTGGGTTCTCTACAAATTAAATTGTGAAAATCCTTGGTCTTATGCAGTGTGATTTAGTCATAAGTAGTCCTAACTTCTCAGAGACCTGAGAATTTGGGCTCAAGTTCTACCTCTAAGAGCTTTTCAAAGAGTAGTGTAGCTATCAACTTTCTATAGTCTGGTCTCTGAAAAAAAAAAGTGTGGAACCCGTTATTTGGGCAACATCCGTGTGTGCTTAAGGGCATATACTTCAAAGCCTGGCCCAAGCTTGAATGCCACCTCTGCCCCCTATTAGCTGTGTTACTTCTGGAGGATTTTAAGCCTTAGATTTCTCATTAGCTGTGTTAATACATGATGATTTTAAGCCTTAGATTTCTCGTTTGCAAGATGAGATGATAAAAAAACCATAATGCACAGGGTTGGGGTTAGAATGAAAGCAATTATTACACTACTACTGAATATTATTGGCTAAGGTCCAATTTTTAGGTTGTATTCATTCTATATAGAWAATCAGAGAGATTTAAAAGACAAAATGATGTCTAAATAATCTAGTATTTAAAAAAAAACATACGCTTAGTTCCCAGTAACTTACATTATTGCAAAAAGAGAAGCATCGTAACATTATAGTTAAGAACATGGGTTTGGAGACTAGACTCTTCCACTGTCAAGYGGRGTACTCTTGGGCATGTCACTCAATYTCTTTGTATCTCCCTTTGCATTTGCATAAGAGACAGTAATAGTGCCTGAACTAATACATTTAAGCCACTTAAAATAATTTCAGCCACTTAAAATGGTATATGACAATAGTAAGTATAMTATAAACATTTAATATTATTATTTTATTGTCTGAAGTTTTAAATGTCTTGCCATATGGCATAGAYTGTCATTTTCTTAGTCCTTACCTCACCAGTGTGCCAGTTTATTTAATTTTCACTAGCTAACAACATTTCTTTTTTTTTAATTTTATTTTTTTTAGTTGTAGATTGACATAATACTATTATTTTTATTTATTTATTTTTATGTAGTGCTGAGGATTGAAACCAGTTCCCCACATGGGCAAGGCAAACGCTGCACCACTGAGCCACAACCCCAGTCCACCACATTTCCTTTTAATGTTAACTCTACAAAGACTTTGCTAGAAAAGCCCTGTGCCTCACAACTTAGACTTTAAAACTTTATTATATGACCCAGACTATTATTTGCTATAATAAGCTCTGGCTGGAATAATGATAATGCCTYGTGATTACTTCTGGCTACAGCATTTTCTAACAAGTTTAAGTAGCAAAATAAAAACTTTCATGAATTTTATTTCAGGATTCCTATAGAAAGCCCTAGATTCTAGATGCTGGGAAATRCATGTGATGTAAACATAGGAATACATACTTTTACTTAATATTTTACTTTTCACTTATCATGAGAATTTGATCTTTAGCCATTTTTTCAATTAGTAACCATTTGGTTCTCTTGTATCTGATCAATTAATTGAAAAAATGGCTAAAGATCAAATTTACATTTCCAAAAGTATAAAGCCTAGACCTTGGAGGCATTTCTGGATGGTAAAGGCACAATACCTGGTTTTATCTGATCTCTGGAAAGAAAGTCATCATGTTACAAAAGTCAAGGGTGARAACCTATGATTCTTTCCAACCTGCCAAAAACAAACCTTTTGATTGCCAAAAAACATTTTCTCCCCCTTAATTTCAGGCAGSGTTGGGAAGGATGGAATATCTGTCTCTCTTATGTATGTAAATGTTCTCCTCCGGAATGTCTGACTGACGACTCTTACGGGAAGAATTCCCATGAGTGATGGGGAATGAAGGGAACAAAGGAGTTAACTAAAAAACTTTAGTGGATCCACAACATCTTGTGTGTAATTCGTGATAAAATTCAGAAACATGGGCTTTAAAAACCAAACAGGTATGTGTTAGGATAACAGCAGTAGATGGAAATAGGATTTGAATTTTACTTATGTTATTATTTTCAAGGCAAGCATTCTTCTTGTTTCCAGATTCAACAGAGGAGATGTAGAAGGCAGTGCCAGAAGTGTGAGTGCTTTCCTGGAGGAAAAGCAGGAGATGCAAAGGCCCCCCAAAGCTGATAAGGAAGCCCACATCATGGCTAGCAAACTTCAAAAACTTAGAAAGTCCATGGAGAAACAAAAGCTCCTGTAAGTATTTCACTAAATGAGTTGGTCATCATAGAGTTAAAAATACCTCACRTGTCCCAGTGGGAAATACACTCTGAAGGTGCTCTGCAAAGAAGTTCTACCTACTGTTTGGACTTATTTGCAAATTTGAGAGGGAGAATGGGGTAAAGTTAAGTGACCATTATCATATATTCCTGGCACAGATCAGTTTTATTCAAGATTGGGAGAGA